ACCAAGAAGGTAATACAATATTGTTGGTAAGATAAAACAGTGCTATTAGAGCTGTTCAAATAACTTTCGTACATACTACAATGCCGTATGAAAGCGTTATTTTGCTTTTAATTCATATAGATTTTGGAATACATCCCCCTTCTTTTGCGGCTAAGTTTACATGGTAAATCCCATAGTAGCAAAAAGGAGATAAATTCAGCTGTGTTTTCGAAACCCTGTGTGATTATGACTGGTTTTAATGGGGATTACGTTGAGTGGGCTATTAAATGAGCCCGGACGAAGCGAACAGGGCGTCAGACATGCCGGACCGTTCAGTGCCAACTTGTAAATATATCTGCGATTTCAGAACAACATGTTGTGCATATACATGTCAAAAAATAACTCGGGTACAACGCTGGTCAGCTTCTGCGGAAGTCATCCTAAGTGAACGCCCACTGTTTCTGATTTTTGGGAGACTACTGGTTAAAAGTTCATACTTTACCATCAAATTCTATTCTATTAAAAGATGCAAATGGTCACAAAGTCACAAAGTGCAAGAGGATAAATAACGAGACGTAAAGAGCATTCACCGGTGGAACATCACTTCTAACAGGAACATAATTTCTCCCACATTCTTCTACGCGTAAGCCATAAATCTGATTACGTTGATCTTTGCCCTGAGTAGTTAATCGATCCGATTACCTAGGTTCTGAGCAGGGCAGCAACTGCGGGGACCCCGGTTTCCGACAAAAAACTTCCCTATTACTACGTAACCGCGTATGCTTTGTGGTCGTTTCGTAGACGGACAACAGTGCGGGTGTGAGGGCCGAGGGTAATAGGGGCTGGCGTTGCAGTGTTCGCGCATTCTTCTCCCGTATAGTAAAGATTATAGTTGACAATATTCTCCTTGTCCTGAGCTTAAGCCGTAAGACGCTACAAAGCATGCAAGCCAGGTATTTTATGTCGGGCAGACGAAAGGCAGCTCAGTATTCACGAAAATTGCATCCGAAGGCACTTAAAGCAGCTTCTTGAGAGGTAACTGAGGCGGCACTCCTCGTCCACCGAGGACTTAAAAGCTTTGATGTTTATTCTTGTCATCTATTAAACCTCTCATAGTCGGCGAAGACGTACAGCAATTTCCCTTGTTACCTTCGGTTTGTGCTTACTTTCTAAGTGTTTATATATCGCGGTTCAGTCATTATTCCGCCGCCTGTCGCGTGGCATTCCACAGTACATCTGCTCTCACACCGAAAGATAACCTTTACAATGTTAGGTAGGACATGGGAATGAATATTCCCCTCGTACCATAAGTGACCTTGTTCTAAATTCCAGAAGATACCTATCTCCCTTTTCTAATTTCAACACTAACCCCACAATCCTAGTCTTAAGCCTAACACTTGTCCCCTCTGGCCTGTGGTATGGGGGCCACACATCCGAGCCTTTCCGAATTCCATATGTAGGACTCACATAAAAGATCATCTGTCATCATCCTGCCTTGGTGGCGTTTGAGGCATTAGCTGGCCTACCCTGTGAAGTGCTAACGTAAATTATTTAATGTATTTTCGTGTTTAGAACGGATACTTGGATGGGATTGTACTAGTGATTATTGCCCAACTCAATCCCAAGATATCTTAGTCACATCAAGATGCTGGCTTTTCAATGGCTGCCTGAAGACTTCACACTCTATACATGTTGCAGGGATTTTTTCCAATCGATTTCCAATGTCCTTATAGATTCGATATATCTCAGACACAACATGCACGAAAATACAACATCTTGTACACATTTGCCTGCAAGTTAAGTTTACTTCAGGTTTTAAACCTGAAGGAAGGAAGTGTTTAGGTTCCAAATAAATCTCAATGTCTGGATAATTCTAAACCTGACCAGGGATTGAATTTTCGCCTAGCTCTTCTAAACTGCATGTTGCAAAATTTCCGGCTATGAACAATCATCCATTCCTGAACGCTTTTAAGAAGACGTCTTATAGGTCTGATAAAAGTTTTCTGTGGAGACGAATCCGACGTAAAGATCGAAAACCAAGGAAAACCATAAACGGCTCATTGGATCGCGTTTTTTATCCATTGGTCTCCCGAATAATAGCGCCGTGGTGAGGTGAATGCATAAGGAGCTTTCTCCGTTCGCTCGTGGAGGCCAGTTTTTGGAGAAGTTTCTGGTCAGTTCAAATTTTTAGGAGAACTCGTAGAATTTGCTACTTTCGTAGTTGTTCAACAGATAGGCAAAGCAAATACGTCGATGAAGGCGGAAGTATTTACCAACCCCATATTCAATCAGATTTGTAAAGATTTGGGAGTTCATGCGCTGGATCTATGCGGTATAACTACTCCGCAGCCTCCCATCACTTCGTTAAGCTGAACATTTGACATACCTAGGACAGATTACTTTGTTCGTCCAAACCTCATTTTGCCTTGGCTAATTTATATACTGATAAAAGTCACTGAACCAGCCTTCGCGTGTGGTAGTCAGAAATGGTCATCAAAGCCTCCTCTGTTATCGTAGATGCCACATCTATGCATTTTTGAAAGTGTTAAGCATACTCACTTTTATAGTCTCCTAATAGGTAAAGTACATAATTAAACAAATATTAACCAATTCGGTGCGCTTTTAGTCCTTTTTATTTGTTGGCTAGCTTACAAGCATATGACACGAATTCCGGCGTTTTCGAAATTTGCACTTTTCTTAAAGAGTTTGCCTTCTCATTAATAAAATAGTATTTGCAGCATATATTACGAACTTCATTCAACTGGAGGTCGTTCGTTATTAGTTTTGTATAGTAATGCATTCGTTAGAATTTGTTTCAGACTGGTGAATGATTTTTCGTTAGATTATATATTTCCTGGGTAAGGTCATCTACTGTGGTTATCTATCGTCGTCCTCTGGAATTAACTTAAAATCCACGGAGGTTGCAATCAGGTGCCCAAGGGTATGTAAAGAAGGGCAGTTCCCACACTTGGTATGCCTGTATCCAACAGCCAGACATAATTCGATCTTATTCGAGAATACGTTGTTTTGAAATCGGAAAAACACAAACAAATCACAATTTCACAAGTTTAAAATCCATGCATGTGAATAAAGGGAGAGGGACCAGAGTCCTAGCATCCTAAAAATCGACGCAGGCAATTTTCAAAACATTGGACAGAAGTTCGACCATCGGAAGTATTTTGATGTCACTGCTCCCAGATCTATGAAATAGCTGCCTCAGGGGATCATGAGATACGACCGGCTGCGCGTGGATCCCTCTCTCCGAGGATCGCTGTCGCATTACCGGATCCAGGTAGACTAGGCATGATCACATCTGTATTAGGTACAAGTAATTGTCCTCAACTCACACGCCCTCAGCTTACAGTAGCCGCCATTATCCGCAAATGAAATTCGAGTAAACAGATCTTACCAGATGTCCGATCACCAATTAAGGGATGTTTGAAACGGAGACTACACTTTGTTCAGCTTAAACGTGTAGGACTGGTCCTGTAGTCCTAGGTTGTTATCAACACTATAGTGTACTAAGCGTCATGCCACTGAACAGTTGACCAGGAGTTGATACTAACGCCCGTGAGTGGTAAACCTATAACTTGCAGGGACTTCATTCGGTATATTTGGAGTAAATGACAGAAACCCCACAAAGTTCATCTAAACAATACAAGTCTGCACGAAAAGCAGCTGATTTGCAACTATTTACAAGCAATTTCAATACGCATAAACTGATAGGTAAACAGAGGTGTTAAAAAAGTGGGGAATTTACGAAATACCAACGAACAACGCATTCTCTTATAGGGAATCGGAATAAGAGGAGGAGGCCATTGACAAGACAGCTCAACTTCCTTAGGAAGAAGAACAAATGCTGGAACGGAACACAGATGAAAGCTGGAGGTTCGAGAACTTAAAACCGCTTTATGCGGTAAAAGGTGGAAAAAAAAGACGATCTTGCCTGATCGGAGTTAACACCCTGTCATTAAATGGGAGGCCAAACCCACAACAGCAAGGGGACGTGACTAAACTCACGCCTCCCGCCGAGGCCTCGTAGCTGCAGTGGCTGTACTAAAGCCTTCACTTGTTGCCTTGGGTTCGAATACCGCTAAGGCGCCCAGTTAGGTCAAAATGACTCGGTCAAAATCTCTCCAAACACCTCTTAATTGGCAAGTGTAGCCACAGTTTTTAATGACAGATACACTAGTTTGTTTAAATTCCTGATTATAAAAACAACTGGAAATGTGACAGAGAGTAAAGTTAGTCCAAGCCACCTGATAGAGAGGGAGAGGTAATCATAGTAGCATTGATCAGTGTTATTAAAATGGGTTTCTATTCGCAATATGAAGGACAATTTTTGACTGAGTAAACTTGGGAACATTGACAAACAAGCCAAAGTCGCTTGGCAGTTTCTTATAATAGGCAGCTGTTCAGTCTGGATAAGATATCTTTTATGGGCATAATTTAGATATCGTATAGCGGCTCTGGATTTTTTCAGCCATCTGTAAGCACTGGTGTTGAATTTTAGGTATTTCTGTTTGCCAAGTCCCCTGATGTAAAGTCGCGGCTGCAATTTGTCTGGCAACCAGTTTTTGTTTTTACTCTTAACAATGTCTGCGTGGCGACCCATTCGCCATTGCGCCAAATGTCTTTGCTTCCACCTCGAAACAGAACTTTTGGAATTTTACGTGCAATGGACAAATAGAAGACCAACTTATTCATCTGATCTCTAAATTGTCAAACGTTGGATTTCACTTCAAAACTTCTGATTAACTCAAACCGTGCAAAATAAAAACTTGCATCCTCAGATTCGCGTTAGTACTGCTGTGATGACAGTTTTCTCAGAGACAAAGGGCATGTGCATTCAAAATTTGAACACCCTCGGAAGCAGAAACGTTAACAGTTGACATGGGAATTTTTATTAAAGTAATGTGATTCAGAAATTAAATTACACTTTTCCCTATCACCGCAAGAAAACCGAAAGAAAACCTCAAAAACCACGCATTAAATGTGGACTACGAAAAATCACGGCCATGTTATGGCTGCGCCCAATTAATGGCGATAACTTTGGAAGCAAAGTGGGGAAAACGACTAATAGAAAAGTCAGTTATGACAATGTTGACACCATTGGGGCCAGGGACTTTTGGAGGGTATGTGAGCCATTTATCGACCACTGTGTTGGCCTTTTTAGAAAGTTGTTTTAAACCAGTGCCAAGATTTGACAGAAAATGCCGCGCATTCGTGTTCAAAATGCCCTGGTGGACGTAAAATCGGTCTTCTCCACGTGCATCTTTGCTGCAATACAAGAGGGAGAATATATATGAGGCATATTTGATAAATCCATCTCGTAAGTATGGGCTATACTCTAACAGAAAACGACAGTTGCTTCAAATAAGGAAAATCTCACTCAGGGGACGATGCGAGGAATTCTGCCAGCTTCTGCGGATCAGCAGTCTTTGGCCATGGCTGCAGAATACGCCAACCAGACCAAAGACGGTGGCTCCTGGGAAACGTCCAGCGTTGTATAATTACCAAAACCTGTTGTTTTCGCTCCCATATCTCAGCCAGGGATGGTACTACCGACTGACTCGGTATAAGCATATCTCCAAAGATCTATGGGGATATTAAAACGTGTCAATTGGCAAACTTTGAAAAAACTGAGTTCAAAAAATATTTTGAAAGCATATCTTAAACAAAATTTCGGTCGACTTCCCGCATGGTAGGCGTAAGTTTGGTTTTGAATATCCACAAGTACAATTCTTAATGACGGACGCACTATCTTATTTCAATTCCCGATTTTTAAAAACAACTAAAAATGTGACAGAAACTGAAGCTAGTCCCAACCTAATAGAGAGGGAGAAGTAGTCCTAGCAGAATGGATCAGTGCCATTAAAATGGGTTTCTATTTGCAATATGAAAGTCGACTTTTGACTGGGTAAAATCGAGAACATTGACAAACAAGCGAAAGTCCCTGATCAGTTTCAAATGATAAGTAGCGATTCAGTCGGGATAAAATATTCCCTATGTGTACAATTTTAATATCATATAGGTGTCCTGGATCATTTCAGTCATCCATAAACACAGATGTTGAATGTTAGACACTTCTGTCTGGCAAGTGCCCGGGTGTAAAGTCGCTTTCTAAACAAGAGGCATGCCCTTCGTTAAAGTGAGGAGGCACAGCGAATGAGGAGATTCTGTGCGTCGTTCTGCGCTGATCAGCAACCCAACTTGTGTTTGGTTAGGTCAGAATCCTGGAGTCAACACGGCCAAGTGGAAGTTAGTTCTACGTTGTCGCATTTACTGTCACAGTCGTAACGACGCAATGGAACGCAAACCTGGGACTTCCGTTGGCACCTGGGCTTTGGGAGAGGAGTGGGAAAATACCGGAAGTCGACATACCCGTAGCCGCCTTATCTGCAGTGATGTGTCACTCGAGATTGAGCCAATTAAAGGAGTCATTAAGATACTGATTTCTGGTAAAGTGTGAAGTAATCTGCTAAGCAGGTTTAATACCTGTTGTATCACCGGTCTCTCTTAGGATGTCCAAACGGCCATTTAGGGCGGATTAATTGCAGCCCCCATCTTTCTATTAAAACGGAAATGCACACTTTACACCTTGTGGTAACCCATCACTCCAGAATAGAGCAAAATTTACTAGGGCTTGCGTGTCCGAACACTTGGTGTTATATCGGTGCTTTATTTCGCAACTACGTTGTAGGGCGTTCCCGTTGTACCCTGTGTGGCCAACACTAGGTTGTTTGTGTCGAATATAATATTTATATGCAGTCGAAAAAAAAACATAGTTGCCCGACGGGACTGCCGTATCCCAAAACCAGCTTGAAATTAGTTTTCTGAATTTGGCCCTGAAGTTCAACCAGGAAGACGAACACCGGACAAAACTCCCGGCAGGCAACGATCAAAATTTGCTTGTTAATACGCTCTGTCTGGCGGTAGCCTCCTTGATGACTTCGTCAAAAACAAACATATGATTTCTTTCATCGCGGGAGATCAAATAGAAAAAGAATCACTGAGTGTGTGCAGATGAGCCCCAAAAGTAGACAATAGCACTCCCTAATCATTAGGCGAAGAATCGCTTGACTGAGGTCTTTTGTTTATCTGAATCCACTCCGACTGTTGTTAGTACGGTAAATAATTACACAACTATATACTACTGGGTGCCTATTAGCGGCTTGTGAATATTACGCGGTTATTCCGCAATATGCATATCAAATTTCGGACCGTGCCTGAGAAGGTCTGTTCTGAAGGATTTACTCCAAGTTCGCGCGTTAATTTCCTCAAAAATTAAACAAGACAAGTTGAGACTGGAATTCATATACCAGAAAACACACAGGAAAGGCTGCGCGATCCACTGACGAGGCGAATTTCTGGCAGATGCGTCAGGCAGCGGTACATGATCGGCGAAACAGGCGTGTCTGTGTTGTTAGTAAGTTAAATAATTGCACAATTAAATCGTAGTTTAACAAGAACTGTTCATAGGTTACTGTAGGACTTTGTGATATCGAAGTCCAACACCACAAGGACGATTAAGAATAACATGAGCAGTTAATTAAAACGCCAGGAATGCAGGGAAGGTGGAAGTGCGGCAGATGCAGCGTAAGTCTATTATCGCTATAAACTAGTTCACGCTGTCGGGGACACATGATTCACAGTGTCCGAATGGTCGCGTGGAATGTACACCACCCTAACTCAGTAAAAAGCCGACAGATGCGTTCCGTGTTCCCAGGTGGCGTTATTGATTTCTTCTTAATTTTCATTTCACTTGACGTCCATACACATTGTATCTTTGACCTCATCAGAAATCTACTTTCTACCGAGTAGCGAAATAAATTAGAGCGAGCTTTTCATCAGAATGAGGGGAAACATGGTTCTATATGAACATACCTCTTCAATTACTTGTTCAAACTCTCCAATCAACTGATCCGACAACCCGTAGAAGTGATGACAGTCAATAATCACCACTTCTCTGGAATGGTTTTGAAGGAAGGATCGTATCTCCAAAAATTCGGCGACAACAGATTTTGCGTACTGGGCATGAGTCAAAAAGAATTTGTCCGACACCTGTGTCAGTGGCTTGTTTGATGCGGGTCGGGTAGTTATTCGCAAGTCGAAGTAGCGAATTCCTCCAAGAAGTTGGGTCATGAAATTGGCTTCCTGTGTGACTGACCACGGCGTTATAAATATTGTTGCAAAAACCGACAAAAACTGAAGTTCGCACTGCCATGACATATCGGGTGCAATATCGGATCCTATTGAAATTGCATATGTTCCCGAGTTGTGGGTGCCTAAAATAGTACAGCAAAGATTCCAACTACAAAAAATCCCTTTCTGGGTAGGGTCACAACATGCCTTATTCACCAACGCTCCCTACTATACGTTACGCAGCAAAATGTTCATTCGAAGTCCTCCTTTCTGCAGCTTTTCCGATTGTGGTTGCGATGCCAAACACCATTTTATCCAGCATTTCAAAGAAGCGGTCTAGACTAGAGCGAGCTTTAAAAATTAGAGCAATTCAGCTAGCAGGTTGTCGGAAATTCATGCCTGTTTAACCTTTTCAATTTGAAACCAACATTCTCATGACATTTTCAAACTTACCTTTCTACATAAATCTTACATGACCTAGAAAATGATATGGTCTGAAGGTATTATACTTAACTGAATCTCTATGGTCGCGTACTGTGGCACGCAGCTCCATTTTTCTTAAAATATAATAACCAAACATCTTTTTCGAAACTGTTTGCTTTGGCTGCTAGGTTTTTATGTAGTTAGAAACAAAGCGCGAGTACATTTGCTATGTAGATAATTTAACCATGGTACATTTGCTACTAATATTCAGGATTGTCATTATTGGCAGTCGAGCGAAATATAAAAATCGCCTTTTTTCAAAAAAAAAATTTGCATCTCGTACCTATGAATCCTAGAGATAAAACAGTTATTTGTAATTTGAAACAGTTTTTTCTCATTTTAAGGGCACTTTTGAGAGATTTTGAAAACAAATTAGACAGCGTTTGTTGAAAAATATGGGATGTTTTGCAGAATGTTTAAAAAGGCTGCTTAAAGAATGCATCAATTAAGCGATGCTACAGTATTGATACGAGGCAATTTTGGAGAAACTAAATCTCAGCAGAGCACTGACTATTAGCTTAGCATCAGTTATTTATTATGGAAATGTTTCTGGGGCATCAAATTGAATCCTCATAGGACATAACGGCCTATATGATCACTCTTGGGTAAAATATATTCAGACGTGATTTAAAAAATTGTAAAACACGCAAAGACCTCAGTTGAGTTTGAAAATTCACAAGAACTTAGAGTTTTAAAGACGATACGTCATTCTCTGTTTGAGAACAACAATTAAATTGATAGGTGTAATATGCCGAATGTTGGGCCTGTGAATATGAATCATTCGTTAGACCGCTGTCAAATGTGAAAATTACTGCAAATCGGTAGAAAATACAAACATGCGCTTTTGGCCTTTGCGTTTTGTGTAGATACTTATGAATTTTGTGGCGTGGTCTGTAACCTCATTTTGAGACCACATTCCATGTTCTTCGGATTTATATTTCACTAACGTAACCTTCTTCTTAAGGACTATCTGTAATCTGTCTCCGTAGCGTCCATTGTATTATGGCTCCCGTATTCTCTATTGACTATAATTATTCGTCAGGCGGTTATTTAAAAATAAAAAGTTTTCCCTTTTCCCCATATTTCTCTCCTAATGAACTAAAAAAAGAATTATAAATCAAAGTTTAAGACCTGTGCACTTTGAGTGCCTCCATTTGTGCAAAATCTCGTTCCTTAATAGACCAACACGGAGACACATTCATCATTGCTGAGTAGCATCCTCTTTTTTTCCATTTATGGACAGTCCACGCAGTAATTTTCCTGTTGGTCTGCTGACTAAACTTCAGTATTATCCAAAACGACTCGCGTTCAGTAAACAGTTGCTCAATTTCTATTTATAAATATTAATTTAAATAGGAGCAGTCAACATATTTGGGAAGAACCCCCCTTCCATTGCTCAAAACATATGTTATATTTCACGTGGTATGCAAGAAGTAAATGGTTGTCTTCGATTAACCTGGAATAGCAATATCACACAATCGCCACTTTGTAGCATATTCTGGTAATGCTGACATCCACGTGCTGAGATTTAGTTGGCCCAATTCCTGAAATAAAAATGAAAGTTTGGATTTTTTTCGTGAGTGAAGATGAAAACAAGTTATGGGACATCCTGACCATATCTGCAGACTCAGCCACTTGCTGTCGCCGCGAGCGGTTCCAGAAGTGCTTAACTGCAGTCAATCGACCGACCTCAACTCAGACGCACGCACGTCTATAGTGTTGCATCTGCCCACGCGCTACGCGACAAATTCCAAAAAACTGGGGTATTTCTCACACTGTTTAAAAAACACAAATACCGTGGAAATATTTTACTTTTGTTTGGACTTCACAGAAATTAAGCCCTGTAAGCTATATGCGGGCACCTAGCTTACTGTCCACATAAGACGCATTCGATCATGTTACCTCGAATACACCTTGCATGTAATAGTTAAGGTAATTTTTTGGAAAGTTACCAAGACGTCAGCCTCAGGTTTCTCCGGAAAGTGTTGCAAAGGTCCCGGCATTTCTAAGCTTCCGCTGTTATACGGTCAGAACTATGCGACCCCATCTTGTATAGGATTTAGAATTTATTGGGAATTTGTGTTTCGTACTGAAACCATATCGAAAATTAATCATCCTGCCTTACAGTAATCAGTTATTTGATGTTTAAGTCATATAACTTTGTACTTTACTTAAAAACAAAGTTTTTGTATACGTCGTCCATCACTAATAAATTGGAACATTTTAGTGAAAACCAGCCAATAAGTAGAAGTTTGTTTGTGAGTCATGTGAATGTTAAAACACCCAAAATGACCGCTTGCTTATTGTTATTCCATAATGTTTAATTTTCCCTGTCAACAGCTTACGCGTTTAAACCCAAAACATACGTATTAACGTGATTATTTTTTTCACCTACGTGCAGACCTACATGTAATGAAAGTGACAGAAAGTTTAAGTATATTTCTTTTTTATCATGAAATTTTTGCCTGCTTAACGGACAACAAATTCAAACATTTATTTGAAGGTGGTTGAGAACAAGATGCTTTTCTTTATCGAGGCATCTGCTTTGGAGAAACGTTCTAACTAAAGACAGAAAATTTAGCCCATCATTCAATATGTACGCAAATTCTAGCGTTTTATACGCCAGAACTGTCAAATATTTGAGATTATTTTATCTTCCTTATCAAAATGTTCTTGAACATACTATTAATTACTAATCTTAAACATGAGCTTGCAAATTTTAAGACAAAGATATCACATTTAGCACCCGCCGGAATCTTTTCTATCCAAGACTTCTGTTTAGTCCTAATATAAGATGGCCTTGCAGAGCTGCCTAATGTCTTACGCTCACTGAACAAAATATCCTACATGTCTTTGACGACGATAATTTTAAATCTTTACAAAAAACAAGATTAATACTGTTTTCTTACGCCTGTTAGACTGTCTCTGAGTTCCGCAAACCAAAATTTTTCTGGTCATTCCACGGAAAAATTTAACCAAGATTTAATAGGCAGACGGCCTTTTGACGCAGATTACCGAGTACTGTATTTTGCAACCTTTGGAGAGATGTCGCATTGGGACAAACGATGTAACATCTGAATGACACGCTGCTTGCTTAGTTATTAATGCATCGTTTTTATCTTTTCGACTCATCACCTTTAAGTGATATCCTCACGTAAAATAGGATATCACAATCAACATTTTAGCCTATGCTCTGGAAATGGTCTTTATCAGATGGAAACTGGCCTGGGAGATTATGCTTTGCACTTTATTCATGTTGGTTCGAATACACAAACACTTTACTTTTCACTCCCGCTCAATCTTGTTCTCTTTAGGGGTTTTTTCGTAGATCACCGCCAGCCAGAAAGGACATGTCGACTGTCTTGCTGGCGTTAATACCCGTTTCCAGTTTAATTATCTGTAGCGTCCCCCGTGCATTCTCATCACCGAATGAGTTGGCTTGATACAGCCTCACAGCAAGTCTATGAAAGGAAAATTGATACGCAGCTTTTAAAGGCAATGGTTTTAGATTTTTAAAATAAACCACTGAGCTTACATTTATCTGAAAAAGGTTATGCGGCTTAGTTTTTTTCATCAGCTGTTTACGGGCTTTTGTATAAAGCTGCCTTCCCCGTCATCAATAACGGTTCTCTAATAATTGTCTGTTGGTGGTAGTGATCCATTAGATACATACTCCGTATATTTTACGGAGTGTTGTTTTTGAAAAAAGTGCTACCAGTTCTTATTCTACCTGATTTAAATACGCTGTAAAATATTCTAAAGATAACCAAAAAGGAATCACATCTATATAGGACAGAGACGTTATTCTGAGAGGTACAGAGCCTTTAACTGGCCATACGTAAACTTTGTGGTTTGTAAATTTAATTCGTTCAGCAAAAGCATTAAAAATCTATTAGCTAGATCGGTTATTAGCTATGTGTCATGGCCAATTTCCTGGTTTCTGTGGTCGTGGCCTTTAAAATCCATTGATCTATTCCCCGGATAAATGCATATCATCTGTAATTTGAATATTCACTATCAGATTTTACAATGATGTCGATATCTAGGGAGTTAAGCTTAAGAATATCCGCATCACATATCCTATGGATTCTTTATACTAACTCTCAAAGGCAGTATCTCAGACATTAAGTCAAATGGGCCTGAAAACCCAATTGTAAAATTAAATTGCTTTTTTTTAACAATGCATAGGCGTTTGTACTATTTAAAAAATTTATTTTGAGAATGCACGTATATAGTTACCTACCGGCGGATTTGGGAGTCCATGAACTGGATGCAGGATCAGAATCAGGACCTTTCTGTGATCTTTAGTCTAAAATGCATACCTGTACCAAAAGAAGCACGACAGTCTGTGGGGTGAAAAAATATAAATCTGCTTACATTATTCGACTTCATTTTTGGTAATTGCATTTTTTGAATCGCTTTCGGGCAACGCTGTAACAAACAAGATTTTTTTATGATGAAGGCCTTTAGTGTGGGTAAGAAGAGAATAGCTTACTGCAAAAATGTTTAATTTTTGT